AGCTCATTAGATTTCTTTAGAAACCTCTGCAACTGATTCCTTTTGTTCTCCATCCTGGCAGCAGCCATTTTTATCCTCTTTGCTGTTCTCATGCATTGGAAGTCTATGCAAAATATGTAACTGGACATTTTATTATTTTCCCTGTCACCCTTCCTACCTTAATGGCTGAGATTGGTGTCTGATTTCTACTCAGTCTTCAGTGGTTTTACTGTTGTATCCTGGAAGTGTCTGTGCTGGTTTACTTTGCACCATTCAGAGTTGTTTGCTTGAAGCACTGTTATCTTTCTGGAGAGTATTTGTCTGAGATGAGAAAGGCTGTGAATGACGTTGTTGCAACTGTTTTAAATTAAAAAGAAATATTCTCACATCTGGTGACTGTGTGGATTCTTGCTTCTTTATTCCTGTCTGAACTGAAGAGGAATAGACAGAATTTGTTTTGATTCTGCCTCTGACTCTTTGTGTTCACATTTGGTGTTTTACTTAAAAAAACCCTCCATAGGGAACAGAGGTTCGTGAGAGTCTTGATTTCTTGTGACTCCTGGCATTTCTGTAGATTAAAAAAAAAAAAGTAAAATCTCCAAGCCCTGAGTGAATATACAAGATGGCAAAAATTATAAAACAAGTTTTAAGTTAGATTGGTTTGTTTGTTTTTAACTATTAGGCCTGTTGGTGTTCTTTTATTGCAAGAGTTGGCACTGTTTGTGTGGAATAGTGCTGTCATTTCACTCCAAATTTCTGCTTTATCATGGCCTATAATTCCTCATACTCAGAAATTTCTTCTGCTGCTCAGTAAAGGAGAAGGCTGTTTTCCTCACGTGTAAGGACTTTACACAGAAATGTGACTTTTGGGACTTTGGTATATGCAATAGGCTGAAAAAGAAGACTGAGGGGTGACAACTTTTTATAGGATCACAGGACCAGCAACTGGAGGAGAGGTAAGAGGTAAATCTGCTGGGCTCAGTGACACTTCTTGACATGGAATTAGAGGACATGTGCCATGTTGAGTGATAAGAAATACAGAGATGGTTCAGCTTCGGAAGTCTAAACTAAATGATCTGTTTTGGTTTCTCTTCTATCACAGATGTCCTTTGTGACCATGGCAACTCAAGCCACGCTGCTCACACCACTTGTGGCAACTGGAAGAGGTGGGAGAGTGGCTCCCTGTAGAAGCTAACCAGCTCTGCTCAGAATTTCCAGGGATTTCCTGTATAGGATTTGTGCCTGCTAGCTTGTGCAGACTGTTTGTGGGAGGCAGTGTTGGATAACTGACAAGTTGCCACCCTCTGCTCCCCCTCACTGCCGTGGGAAGTTGCGCCTTTGTGTCCCCCAGGTGTCCAAGCCTAACCCAAAGAAGGGCAGCACTGACAGCCGTGGTGGAAGACAAATGCTGTAAAATTATTGAAAACAGTTACTGCACGGCTGACAGCTGTTTGGAGTGGGTGATTATGTTTTCAGATGTCTTTAGCAGTGATTTTTGAGCAGTTTTTTGCGTGGATTTGCTACTGGTGCTTTTTTCCCCACTGTCTTTTAGGACAGCAGTGCTGTGCTCCTGATCTGGAGCACATAACCAAAGGATTTTCCTCCTGCTGCTTTGTCAGTGCATTTGAGCAAAAAGAACTAAACTAGCTTTAACATCTCCCAGCAAAACACACCAGTGGCAAGAGCTCACAGTTAGTTTTGTCCTGACCTAAGGGTTAGTGTGGTTTTTGTTCCCCATTGTTCCTTGGTGGAAGGTTCTGGTTAAAGCCATAGGTTTTACCCAGTTGTTTTTTTCTGACAGAACTTTCCTTCTGCAGGCAAACCATGGCTGTGTTCTGTTTGTTTTCCTGGAGCAGCCCCCATGTCCATGGAGAGAGTCCTGCTTTTCCCATGTCTGTGCTGTCAGCTTTTCTGTCCACAGCAGCACACAGGAATTTTTATCCCTCGTGTCTGTGCTTGTGTTGATGTCTCACAGCAAAAGCACAGAGTAGGAATGACATCAGCCTTGTCAGCACTTTCACCTCATCCCATGAAGGACAGAACTGGAAAATGCTGAGAGCCAACTCCTGTGGTGGTATGTGGGAAATTGCTTGAGTAGTGGTTTCAGTCACTGCATGTTGGCTTTGCTTTTCATAAAGGTTGGTTTCTGATATTATTACTTCTGTTTTAATTATTGCACGGTCTTCAGGAAAATCCTTATCTATTTTTTTCCCATTTTCCTCATATGGGCTGTATGTGCAGAACCCTTTGGGCCAGGCCTCAGCTGGTATAAATTCCAGTTGTAAGTATAACTGACTGACATGTTGAAATAAAAACAAATTCTAAAAATAACTGTGCCTCAGAGAAACAATGAATTTAGGAAAAATGAGAACAAAAGCATATTCTGGACTTAACCTTTAACCAAAGAAGCATGTTCAATTGGTAAACAATAGGATAGAATACCTCACTGAAAAAATCCTTTCAGTTGGAGACTTAGATCCCTCCTTTCAGTTTAAGTAATTGACCCTTTCAAGTTGAAAAGAGATTTTGAAATATTTGAAGCCACAGACAAAGTTTATTTTTAAAACATATTTAAAAATTGCACAGTTATAAATACAATTAATAAATACAATTTAATATGTGGAAAAGAACCCAAGGAAGGCATGCTTCCATTACAGTACAAAAATACTACATTAAGTGTGGTGCTTTGCAAATAGTCATCTATGACCTTAATAAATTTAACACATCCAGTATGCACATCATTCTTTTTTGAGGAAATAGGTTATTTTAAACAGCAGTGCAGGGAAACACCAAATTAAAGCATCAGTAAACTCTAGGTCTGTGTTTAATATTATACACAGCTGATAATGCACTAAGCATACAGAGGCAGAGTTACCTGTAGTAAGAAACTGACCTTGTACCCCGTATGTTCTTACATTCAGATTCTGAACCTGGGTCAGTGTGAGCCTTTGTAAGGGAATGTAAACATTCAGGTGTGGGGCTGAGCTCCCACCTGGGCAGCGCTGCCCAGCCCTGCCCTGCACTTCCCCATGGACACCAGGAGTTCAGGGAACTCTGCAAGGGTGTGCAGCAGCAGGGCTCTTCAGATGGCCCAGGTGAAAGTATCTGCCAACCCTGGGATCACTTCCTTCCTCTATGTTGGCTTAAAAATAAAGCCAAAAGAACTGATGCAAGATTGCAAAGGTTTTCAAACAGTTTACAGCATATAGAAGAAGCCACACAGAATGCCTCTCAAAACTATATGGTTTTATTTTACTCTAGATATGTTATACTCTGATATATAAAATATATTTATAAATTTTTTTTAGTTTTCTGAATTTACAATAGCTTACTGATATTAAAAAGGCTATTTAAATTAAAGGTTCAGCCAATGTCGATGGCATTCTGTAAATGTAGAAGGGGAAAAGAGATCAAAGCACATCAAGTCTTGACCATGCAAGCTTGCTCAATGGGTTGTCACATATTGCAAGCATTTGTAAAATTACAGCATATTTTAGGAAAATTTAGATTCCTTCTGTCTCTTTACCTTGCCTAATGCCTGTTACTTTGTGGGCTGAGGCTCTGAAACTTCCCATGGATTCTCTGACATGCCTGTTTTTCATTTTTCCTACGTTTGTTCAAAGTGTCAGTGACCTCTTCATGCATGGCACTCCTGTTCTCTGATTTATTTCACCAGTCCAAAAATCAGTAGAACGATAATGAAGGAATCAGATTCTAGCCTAGGTAAGGTTTGAATAGTAGATAATACTGTATTGCATATCCACCATTTTTTTTTTTCACAATGTGCAGTGCATTTTGTCTTACCATTTTTGTGAATAATTGGTATATTATTAACATTTATTACACAGATTCACTGTACAGACTGCTAAGCTGACAACACTGGTGACCAGAAATCACATGTTTTTCTACTGTGCAGGTAATTCATGCGAAAATAACTAATATGTCTCGTTTTGCAGATGCATGTTTGGGCAAAAGAGATCTACAACCAATTTATGCTCTGCTCCATTTCCCACTGGCTCCAGCAGTCAGTGATTTAGGCCTCAGGCTCTGGCTGTGCCAGTGAGGACAGCAGTTGTTATTTCTGCCATGGAGGTCTCTGCTCTGTGGATATTCCTGGGATACCTGGCTGTTCTGGAGTTGAGACTAGAGATGAAAATGTGAAAATCCAAACAACCCAGCTTCACTGTGAAAGCTGTGCTGATGTAGCTTTTTAATTCTTGAGGGGGTACTAAAACATGGCTACAAAAGCTGATATACAGATGTCTGTTATTAATTAAACATTTGGAGCAAACATGAAACCCACAACACAAAGTGAATTCTAAGGATGGGATTTTAAAAGGGCTCTGCATTTGGTCTAGGCTGTTCCAGATATACGAACAACTCAGATTTGGGTCTGGCAGATGCAAAGGACTTGTAAAATGTTCCACAGATGATATGAATCAATAGTTTAAGAATACCCTATGAGTGAGCCTTCTGCATGCATTCTCTAAACACATGCTCAGGTAGCACTGCTGCATGCTGGGGGTTAATATTGCATAGTGGTTACTGGTTAATGCAGTTGCATGCAATATTGTCACACGAGGTTTTGTGTCATTTGAACCTCCCCCTCGATATTTTACAAGTGCTGTGATTTATCAGCTCATAAGAAAACACCACTAGATACAGGTATGTTTACATGTGTGCCTAAAAGTCAGACTGGTTCTTCAAGCTGACAGAAAGCAGTCTGTGGCCACAAGGCTCCTGTGGTCCTTCCAGTTTAAAGAGGTCAGACAGCAATGAGCCTTTTGCCTTCATGGCAAAGCCTCACTCCCTCAACAGCCCCTGTGATTCCAGGGCCTGGTCAGCACGTGCAGTGGTGCCAGAGCCAGCCCTCTCCTGGAATACCTGCGTGTGAACTGAGCACTTTTGTGCAGAGTCCAGGCTTACAGGGTGCAGCAGATTGATGGATCAGGCTTCTAGGTCATAACTATTCCTAACGCTTTGTAGAACACAAGGACAGTTCCAAGCTGGGGTTAGGAAAACTTTTTTTTTTTTTCCAATTGTATGAAATATAAAATAGAAAAAAAAAAAAAAGAATTCAAAAACTTGGAATCAGTTGCCTGGCAGTGATAAATCACCTCTGGAAAAAGAGAGGAGTAACAAGAAAGGGAAACAGGAGTGGGACATGGTGATACACCATTGCATTAGGACTCTAATTGGGCCTCACCTCATAGATGCTCTACAGCATCCTGAAATGTCTGAGTCTCTCCTCTGCTGAAATCAGGAGTTTCTGTGTGAAACTGCTTCCCTAGATCTGAGCAGCCCTGTGTTTGTGTCACCTTCCTGCCCAGGGGAGGGGTGACCTGGCCTCTGCAGTGTGAGGCAGTGATTCCCCCTGCTCCCAGTGGTGCCAGGAATGCAGTTTCCCATCTTCCTTCCTTCCTTGCACACCTGGGCAAGTCAGGGATGGCAGGAGGCTTTGACTTGGTCGAGCTCCCAGGGAGTGCTGAGAACAGGACCCAGATTTGCTGTCTCTCACTCTCAGGCTCAATCTGCTACTGTTCAGCACCCGCCTTATTTATCCCACCTCATGCTTGGTTAGAAGCACAAGTAGATGAATTTTCTATTCAGGTTGTTAATATGCTGCAGCCTCCTCGCATGTTTCCTCTTGCTGTTTCAGGGAATATACAAACTTGTCCTGAATATTTAAGGAAAGCCAAGAGGAGGTCAGCTCAAAGCTGTATCTAATCCTGTCTGCTGCACTGACAGTTCTTGGCAGAGGGGGCTAAAGGAGGATGATAAATCCCAGGATCCTAAGGAAGTGCCCAGACGTCCCAAGTGTTGCTGGGCCTGACTTGTTAGAGTGAGGTGAGCTCAGTCTCCAGCCACTCTCCACACTGACCAGCCCAGAACTGTGTGAGATGTGCCCCTGTCCCCTGTCATCTGCCCTGCTTTAGCCTCTGTCAGTGGCACATGCTTGAGTGGCCATAGGCTAGCCACAACAGAGAGGCCAGCTGGGATCATCTCTGCAGGCTGTGCACCTCTTTGGACAGGCTTTGCAGCCCATGTCCTGTACAGCAGAGCTGGGCTGGGCTGGGGGCTGAGCCTGCCAGGTGAGTTGTCTCAAGGTTACACACACAGCTCCTGCCAGTCCCATGGGCGTGGAAATATGTCAGCAGATAAATGTAGTTTTGAGCAGTGCATCCCAGGATAAACCAAAAGCTACCTACTTAGTTTGTTCTTTTTGGAGAGGCTTGGACTTGCATAAGGTTTTCCTAATGATTCCTGTGTTACCCATGTTTAGTGAACTGCCGTGAGAATCAAATACCCCTTGTCATTCTGACTCTGAGAAATACTTTTTTTTGGTAATTCCAAAGTTGTAAAAATGAAGTCCCTGAACAGCTAATTCCTCTGCACAAGCACTGATTATCCTACACCCCAGCACAAAGGATATCCTAGAAGAACTTGTGTGATGGCAGGGCATCAAGCAAAACCTAAGCACATATGCCTTTGCTTTACAGCCTCTTCTCAAAGCTGCCTCCCTTCTCTCCTATCACTTCCCAGATTCAATTGCACTGCACCTTCTGCTCTGCCTTATCAATAAAGAGCTGTCATCACACATCTCTGTCAAAGCAAAAGAGCAAACTGTTGTCAGCAGATATGCACACAGCAGCCCACTTAGCCAAAGTGACATTCCCAGGCAGACCCATCCTTAGAGAAAGCTGCAGGAATCAGTTATGAAACACCTGATAGATAAACAGGAATATATGTGTAAACAATGAATTGATAAAGCACTCTTAAAATTTTTGGTAGCTGTTTTGACATCTCTGCTCAGTGGGAGAGAGTGAGGGGTAAGCTTTTTATTTTTCTAATTGTTTTTATTTAACAACCTATAGATGGTGATTATGTGCAGTGATTACACTGTCTTACATGGAATTTTCCTTTAAGTGGTGGCTCAAAATAACAGACAGCTGCAAGAAACTTTAGTTTTGTACTGGTGAAACTGTCCAACCCCCACAGAGCATCTTTCTCTGTGATCTGTGCAGTTGGATTTCTTTTTTTATCCCTCTGAGCTCGATTTTTCTTCTAATGTTGTTTATAGGAAATGTGCTATTTGTCCCACTTTAACACATTCCAGTAGCTACTCTGCAAATTGAAATCCTGACCACAGATCAACACATCTAACAACACTTTTTATCTTTTGCTGTTCAGGAAAAATATTTAAAATATCGCCAACTGAAAATCACCTCCTAAAAATTTCTCTGCCTTCTTTGATTGACACATTCACCCTGAGCAAAATGTGTTTGATTGTAGCTGAATCAATCCATTCATCAGGGATTGGTACTGCCCCAGCCCTGCTCCCCATTCATGCAGCCAGGGAAAATGAAAACAGTGTTTATACACACATTTGTGAGCAGCTACACATACTGGTGTTATCTAAGGATTTTCTCTGCTATCTTGGAGGTTGTGGAGAGTTTTGCTGCTGTTTGCCATAACACCAGGATCAAGACTTGGCCTCAATCCTACCAGCATTGTACAGACCAATTTCTTTAGGGAAAGTTTTCCCTTGAGCATGGTCTGCAGGCAGTAACTCCCACAAATATTTTTATTCGTTTGCAACGAAGATCTGTAGCTTGCTATGTTCTGAAATGACATCATTTGCATACAACATGTATGTGCATGCACATGCATGTATACGTGTAGTACCTGATGGATGCATATAATAATCTTTCTAGTTGTTAATGCAGTTTACACTGTATTTGCATTTTTAAACATAAAAATATTGAAAACCCTCTCATTACACTTCAGGAAATTATATTTGGTCCTCTCTGCCAACAAGGCCATCCTGTACATTCCATTGTTGGTGACTAAAATAAAAGCATAGCACTATTTTACAAAAAGAAAGGTTAAAGTGCAAAAGTACACAGAAAGGTGCAGACCCTGCCATGAGCTTGTTCAGACTGTCCCAGATCAAGGACAGTTGGTTTGAACAGCAACAATTCCAGTGCAAATTGCCTCTTCTGCTGGCAACACTTGGCTTCCCCAAATGTACCTGGCCTCATCCCATAGCCCTGCAGGGACTGTGTTCCTCCTGACACTGCACATGGCTTCGTGAGCCTGCAGAACTGGGCCCAAATTAATCCAGGTACCTTTGGAAGCAAAAAACTGATTGCCAGCTAATAAATACATTCAAAACAAAACACATCCCTTTTACATGCACCTATTTTCAGAGCTGTGTTAAAAATGGACCTTGGGAAGATTTTTCATCAAAGAAAGCAAAGGACAGGGAATCCCCACTGTGGGGCAAAGTGGTGTCAGCATAGTGCAATGAGCTGCTAAGCAGGTTCCTTGGATGCACTGCTTGCCAGTCTAAGGTGCAATAACCATTATCTAGGTTTCTTCTTAAGATACTTTTCTTTTTACAGCTGTATGGATATAGAGAGATATAGCTTGCATGGGATGGAGATTCTTCAGAAATTGTTATTTTGTCTAATTCAGGGCTTTGTCCGATTAGCCACAGCTCATTTCAACCCTTTGAGTTTGAATTTATTTACACTATTTTTGTGCTTTTGAACTTTCCCTTTATGAATAATGCCTGGAGGAATTCCCCTACTGATCTACAGTCATGATCTTTTGGAAAATGTGGTCATTTGGGGATGAGTAATAAAAAAGTTCTCTGTTTCCTAATACAATTGAATAAATTTTTGAATCCTTTTTATTACGGCTCTAGATTAAAAGCTCTTAAGAGAATGTCTAGATCACCCACATTGGCAGCTTGAAATAGTTCTGGCTGGTCCATCATAGACAGAGCAATCCGAAGTGCTGCCCAAATGTTGCCTGACAGAGCAGGGTGGGGAACCTGCTGCTGATTCCTGCTTTTCCTTTGCAAACTGAGAGCAGTGAGGAAGTTGCTGACAGCCTCTCTGCAGGGAAAAACAAAAAGAAAAAAGAAACAAGCATTGTAATTTGCTTAACAGCTGCAGGCAAACTTTCTAAAGTTCCATGCCAGGCTTAAATACACTATTTTACAATGTAAAATAATACAATGTGTTGTTCTTGATTTTCATCAGGCAGGAGGGCGTGGCTTGGGGTAACACAAAACTCAGTCTATCCAAACATCTGGGGGTACTGTCTTCATTGCAGCAAAGCTCCTCTTCATCTTCCCTCTTTTTCCCTGACAGCTGGGACCCTGGAATATCACCTTCATTCCTGAAGGATGTTTTTGATGGCATGAACTACTTGAGGCAGTTTCACTCAGGTTTCCCTTTAAAAGACAGGCTCTTACATTTTCTTTTACAGAGGCTCTAAAGAGCAGGACTACTTTAAGTGCAAGAACAATCCCACTGATTATAAGAGCACTTGTACTTAGAGCTACAAAACTGCTTTTTAGTCCTTTGTAAAAAGTTATGACAACATTTTACAACAGCTGAGATTATGCAGCTATATTCTGATTATTTTATTCTTAGGTACCTCCAGCTTGAAAACGAATCTTCACTCGGCAGTTGTGACGCCTGACTTTTTGTTCACACATCTTTTATTCTCACCTGTATGCCCCTAGGTTGATGCAGCTTATGCCCAGGTTGTACCTGGACCTGATGAAGCCAGGCTGGATTTCCAGAGCTCGTGTGTAAGCCTCCACAGCCTCCTCACTGCGGTCCCCGTTGGCCAAGGTTGCCCCAAGGCGGTTCCACAACGTATAGTCCTGGTGAGAAAATGAGTTTTTCTACTCTAGGTGTCAAAAACCAGACATAATGTCTCATTTTTTGCTTGCAAAGGAAAGAGGACTGCATAAAATAGTAATGTTGTATCTTAATTGGCAAGGAATGTGAGGTTCTGACTTGTGATCAAAGGCGACTTTATGTATTTAATACCATTAATCAGCACACAGGTAGGAACTGGACATGCATAAATCTGCTTCTAAACAGGAGAATTACAATGTTAATTATGTCTTGTAATTAACATGTCTATTTTTGGGTCTTAAAATTTTAATGGCAGAAGTGGCATGTCATTAATAATAGCCTGATCTAGACAGGGAAAAGGAAATGGCCTGTAAAGCTAAATTTAAAAAAATGTAGAAGTTTAAAATGTACCTCTGGTCGAACAGTTAAAGCAGCACTAAATGCATCTATTGCTCTGTTAAATTCTCCATTCAGGTGAAAAAGAACCCCAAGTCCTGTCTGCAGGTCAGGGTCTATCATATCACCATTCTGGTGAGCAGCCTCCAGGTACAAATCCTTTACTTCTTCGAGTAATGAGCTAGACAAGGGAGAAAAATAACTTAAAGATCCATCATACAGTTATTTGCAAACATTTCAATGTTGACTGCATAGCTTGAAATGAAAATCTTTGTAGTGGATTTATCAGAAGTGTTATGTTCCATATTTGTGAATGAGCTTCTTCATCATGGCAAAGGTTTACCTCAGGGTGCTGTTGTAAACTCATGTCTGAAATAAAAATAACTCATCTATGAAATGAGGTCAAAGTACAGCCATGAACCCAAGTGGAATGACATGAAGGTTTATTAAAACTATTCAAATTAGATGAGTTTCTCAGGCATAAAACAGTTCTTTACTGGCAAAAATAGCAGTATTTTTAAGAGGAATACCTAAGGGATCAGCCAAGACCCTTGAAGAATGATGCCAAAACATAAGACTTCTGTGCCCACTGTAGCTTCTTAAAACCTTTGCATTGACAGCACCAGATGTCAGCAGGATGAAGCCAAAGTAGAATAACACACTTAGCAATTAAGCAGAACCTGCATATTTTATTTTTGTTCATACGAAATTATCTTGTCAACCCAGGACTTGTAAGTGATGAGAGTAAAACATAAGGCCTGTCTTCAAAATGACAAGCAGTGAGATAGCCTGAGTGGTTTGGTTCTCTAAATCATGTTTATGCCTTTAATGACTTTATTATGCATCTCACAGTCCAGAGGTCCTTGTTTATTGTCCTCATGAAATCAGGATGAAGGGCTGCCAAATCATGATTTTTTGTTATTTAAGATGGCCAAGATAAATCAAATGGCTGTGCTGTTTCTTGGTTAAAACCACAACAGCTTTCTAACAAGCAGGTGCCACCTCCCAATATTCTCAGAGAATTCGTGTTGCACTGCAAAATGGCTCATTCCTGGATTCTGCTGGGCTGAGGTATGGGAAAACATCAGGAATAGTGAACAGTAGGAAAAACACACACGTGTAGAGCTGGAGAAAGGCTTAGTATGGATGTGGAAGCAGCTGAAGGATGAGGGTGCAGGATGTGGGAATAGAAAGGCAGGAGACAGGGATAGAGGAAAGTGGTGGGAGTTGAGGAGATACATCCTTTTTAAGCAGGTTTTTTTTTTTTTTTTCTTTTTCCATTTTTGTTTTTTTGGTTTTTTTTTAACTTCCAGGGATGGCATAAAAGATAAAGCCTTCAGTCATTAAATGAGGATAACCACTGCATTTACCTTTCATCTGCTGTCTTAGACATCCTCCTGGTAAGTGCTGGGGACCCTTTTTTGCTTCTCACTATGTACTTGTATTTTGGATTTTGCTTTATCCAGTTTCTCAGGGCTTGATAGGCTTCTTGTTGATGGCCAGTGTTGGTGTAACTCACAGCCAGGGCCATCAGAGCTTTCAGGTTGTTTGGCTGCAGTTCCAAGCACCTAGGCCGAATATAAAGTATATATTGAGATATTTCTGCAGCCAAGCACAATGTTTGAATTGTTCCCAAGTAATCCATGTGAAGAAAATCACAATCACTGTTGTTCTTTTGAAAACTGGGGATGAGCAAGCTCCTAAATCAGGCAACCCCTTGGATTTCTATCCAGGTAAGCTAATAAAGGACATATAAACAAGTTTGAGTACCCTTAGGTGAAATAACTTTATGGTTATCAGTGCTGATGCAATTGAATATTGCTTCAAATGGAAACATAAAAACCCATTACTGAAAGATATTAATAATAATAATGCTGATATTTTGGAGCTCACATTTTATGTGCAAGAATTCTATGATCACATCTCCATCAACCTAAAACTGTTGGCAGTTTAGCATTCAGCAGCTGAAGGGAGCTCACTCCAATTAAGAAAACCTCTTCATTAAAGGACAGACTACAGAAAATATGCCAAGTGGCTGGAATGTAAAAAAGGCACTTCATCTGCATCATGCCTAACTCTTATTTATTAGGCAATATAACGTTTCTTTTGTGCCTTAAATTACTCCATGAAATATTTCACTTATTAATAAAACAGAAATATTAATCACTAGTCATCCCTCTGAAGTCACTGAAGTTTCTATATCTGTGTCAGTGCTCTACTCTGCTAAATAAATACTTCTCATTCCAAGGTAGGAATGACATTAAATATCCCCAGGTCTCCATTACCCAACATTCATGAGACCCCAGGTTTGGGACTGATCTCCCTCTACCTTTGGAGGGCCACGATGGCTGCCTGCTCATTTTCATTTTCTGCCTGTGTTATACCCAGGAACTGCCAGGCCTGCAAAATAATAATAATTTAGTTTGTTACATATATCCAACTGCAAACAGAGTTACAACCAATAAGCACAGGGGTGAGGAAAAGCATCAGATATGTCCAGCACTATGGGTATTCTGTCAGTGTATAATCACATGTTGATTTCTTAAATTTGAATTACTGTACATTTTAAATTTTGCTACAATTTAATGGAAAAGAGACAAGAAGAATTATTTAGTTGTATATTATATATAGGGGGTTATTATATATTATATGTGTATATATATTATGGGTTTCTAGGGAGCTTGGGATTCTCTGATTTTTTGAAGTACACTGTTTAATTTAATGTAGGAGGAGATTCAAAGAGCCCTAGATACAGCATAAATATTTTTAACATTTCACAAAAAACAGGCTTTAAATATAAACTAGTCGAAAACAGCAACATTGTAGAAATTTATATAACTCAAAATTTTTCAACAGTCTTGTCAAATCAAAAATATTCATCTTTTGATAGCAGTTTACAAGTTAGTTTGAAAATATCAGGATGTGAAGGGAAGGTTTGAAATACTTCAGACAACAATATTTCAAAACCAGATTCTTATCCTATGAAGAACTCATTGTTATCTCTTTAAAGGCTAATTCATAACCTTTATACGCTAACTAAGTTCATAACTTTAAACACTAATTCATAACCCTTGGAATCCAATGTTTCATTCAGTCATGCCGGGCAGAGGTTTGATCCCAGAAACCATTCCCTCACTCCATGCTGCAGGGAGTTCCCTTTTCCTTTGCCAGGGGAAGGCACAGCGGCGAATACCTCAGCATCGTTGGGCTCTTGGAGAATTGCAGCCTCCAGGTACAAGATTGTAACAGGCAGGTCACCTTCCTTCATTTTTTTCAGCCCTTCCTCAAAAGCACCAGGCCAGTCTTTGAAGGGATTGTCAGTGTGGAAATAATAACCCTGGAGCAGAGAGATAATGGACCCGTGATGAATGACAAGTTGCAGGGAATGGCAAGTCTCAAAAATGCAGTGACTCACTGTTTTCCAAATGGCTGTAAACAACCTTTGCTCCCTGGAAATGGCACGAGCTCCCCCCGCGGAATTTCAATGACAGAAAGTGTAAAAAGTCACATCACCGGGCATTTATGTTTCTGCTCTTTATTTTTATTTTAGCTCTGAAATTGTACCTACTGGTACTTATGCTGGGCTCTCCATCAAAGGGAATGTCGACAGCTCACAGTGCCTGAGTAAGAGCAGAGCTGAACCTCTGAGCCCAGGACACCCAAAGTGGTGGTAGAGAACACACCAAGCAGCTGAATCCCTGCAGTGCTCAGTTAAAATCCTGAAATCCTCAATTAACCTTCCAGATACACAACAGTGCTGCAAGCACCTGAGTTTATTTAGTATTCCTTTAAGTTTTGCCTTTTTCTCTTGTTACTGCAGTGCAAAGTGTGTGTGGTAAGATCAGCTACATAAGAGAAATCAAATTAAATACGGAGTGGAAGGAACGAAGAAAGGAGATGGAATTTCTGTAATTTCTATCCTCAACATGTGCCAGCCCAAGTATTTTTATATGGTGCTTTTCCCTAAGTTCTTGTCTTCAAAAGTGCTCATAAATCCAGCAGTTGCTCTGTGATTCTTTCAGCTGAATTTGGGCTGTGTGCAAGCCTAAACCTATTCTCGCTGTGGCAAAGTCTTCCAAATCTGCCCCACCCACAGGCAATTAGAGAGGATGAGTTCTTTGGGGTACAAGCAGCTTCCATGCCCAAAAAGTTTCCTTGGGTTTCCTGGAAGAGCTGGGGCTCATCTCAAAGCTGCACAGGGGGGATGTACTGAAATAAAAAACCTGGTGTTACCTTCTCGATGGTTGAGATGGTGACTTGCCCTGGTGTTTCCTGGTTCTCTGAAATCCAGTTTCTGCGAGCCATTTCTTCCCATTCTGCTTGCATTTTATCCCAAAACTCCGTGTCAGACTAGAAGAAAAGGAGGAAAAGAGAAAATTAACAATAAAACTTTAAAATAATGTTTTTTGTTTTAAAAAACAAATTAATTTCTTTCTACCAGTGGTCTGAGTGTCAATTTTGCTGAGCAGTATTAGTTCTATTAATATCACATGGACTGAAATACTACAGCTCCTGTTTGGAATTCCATATAATTAAATCTCATCTCTTATATTGGAATGCATTTTGTCAACAGAACACTCTTTATCTCAGAGGCAGTGTATGTCCTGTTTGAAGCAGGATTTTCAGCAGCTTACATTGTATCTTATTGATGCTAACAGCAAATTGTTACATAAAATTTGAAGGCAATCAATGCTGCAAGTCCCTGGACAAAGGAAAAAAAAAGAAAAAAAATCAAGTGCATATGCAAAAGAATAACAATAGATAACACAGTTTGAAAGACAGTAAGCATTGCTTACTTTGGTATATTCAGCATAATTTTCAGCTGTGAGAAAGAGAAATGCCAAAGCTTAGACAGACGGTGTTTGTGCAAGGGATGTAATACAAATTGGGCTTTTTGACATAGTGGAGAAATCTTAATACTGCATTGTGTACTCTGCTGGTTAGAGGAATCTACAAGAGATTATAGAATCATACAGTAAGATTAATATTCAGCTCAAAGATGAGGGGAAAATGCACAAGGGAAGGAGAAATTATGAAAAACAGATGAGATTTAGGACGACGAATGAGATTAGCAACGACCAGAAGGAGGGAACAACTGTGGCTACTAGGAAATGATGCCAAGAAACAGAAATAGAATTATAGAAGGGGAGAAGCCAAATTAAGGTGCTACTTTTTCAACCTCCACACACTAGTCATGGGACTCTGAGAAGGAGATCCATAGCAGAGTATTTGCAGAGCACTACAAGACTTTCCAAAATTCTCCAGTTCCTACAAGGACATGGCCAGTGTTTCAGTGAGCTGACAGCACTGGGGGCACAGTTTCTCAGCTTATTTATATCAAAGACAACAGCACAAATAAATCTATTGAGATTTAGAGAGAACCATTTGAGAGCAAGGTGCTAATCAAAATTAATTGAAGGTTCCATGAACTGGTCCAGATAGTTTTGTGTGAGTCTTTGTTACAAGGTTGACAGCTTTGGTGCAGCTCCACAGCCAGGCATGATCAGAAAAACAGAGCCCAGACTGTGATTGCATGGCTTGCTGCAGCCCTGCTTAGGTGCTGGGGAAAAGGAAAACATACTGTCCTTCATTCTGGAAGAAATTCAGGATTGTCTGAATCATGCAATTTTTGGATCTGTGAAGGTATCTGCTATGTTCCTCTGTGCAAAAGGAAATAAATTGGGAATCATTCACTCCTGGAGAGGAGATTTCACTGCAGGTAACAGCAGTGAACTGCCCCTGACCACTCTGTTACACCACTTCAGAATTTGCTCTCATTCCAGACTTGAAGAAAATACTTTCATATAAAGAGTTGTGAGATTGTACTGAAGTGTCCATTTAGGGGTTGAAAAGGCTGGATATTGAATCAGATCACTGCCTCTCTAACTCTTGCCATGACCAGAGGAAATTGAATCCCAAAAACAGATTGCCTCCATCAACTGCTTCTCATTCAGCACAAATCTGCCCAGCACTGAAATAAAAATTATGTCATCATGTTTTAACTAGCAGTAGTTTTGAGATTCAGCATGAGGTAAAAATGTGGAAATTTCTCTTTCCTTCAGATTAAAATTAATAAAACTACAGAAAACTGATTAGTAATGACCCTATTTAGCCACATTAATTTATAGAAATAATTATATATATATGTATGGTATTTATATTAGAATTTTTGCTTGCATTTTTCCCTTATGAATCAATGGTGGCTCTGACCCAAGGGGGTACCAGTGTCAACAGCAGAGCAGTTCAGTGTCCTTGAGGAAGAGAACTGTAAATATTACACACATTTAAATATTGGAAATATTGCAGTCTCTGCTGGAGGTCTAAGTCTATTTCAGCTGCCATCAGTAGCGATTTTTTCATTTATTTCAGTGGCAGGAGGGTTAAATTAATATTGAGCCTGTCTGAAAACCTGGCTTTGGATCAAGGCT